CTGTGTCTTTTGTTTTCATGACTGTCTTTGATCTGTTTTTTCAAGCAAGAAACTAGTTTTGGATTTAACACTTTTATTCTTCCAAAAGACTTCCAAACTCTTTTCTATTATTCCTATCAGTTTTGATGACTTTACCATTCATGTATACAATGTTGCTGTTAAATGCCGTCAAGTCGATTCTGATCCATAGCGACCCTGTAGTACAGGGTTTCCAAGGAGCAGCTGGTGAGCTTGAACCACCAACCACTGCAGTTCAAACGACTTTGCAGTCTGACACATTAGCTCACAGAGCCACACCAGGACTCCATGTACACAATGTTGTTGTTGTTGTGAGGTGCCATCGAGTCGGTACCGACTCATAGCGAACTTATGCAGAGCAGAACGAAACAGTGCTCAATCCTGGGACAACCTCACTATCATTGCCATGCTTGAGTCCATCGATGCTGCCTCTTGGCCAATCCATCTCGCTGGGAGTCTTCCTCTTTTTCTCTGACCCTCCACCTTACCAAACAATGTCGTTCTCCAGTGACTGGTCCCTCCTGACAATATGTCCGAAGTACAAGAGGCAAAGTTTGGCCATCTTGGCCATACTATCCCCCAAAATCAGCCACTGAAAATCCTATGAAACAATTTTACTCTGATACACGTGGAGTTGTCATGAATTACAATCCATTTGCTAGCAACTAAGGAGCCCTGGGGACACTGTAGAAAAAGCACTGGAGTGCTGGTGAGGATATGGAAGAACTGGAGTTCTTATCCATAGCTGGTGGGAACGTAAAATGGCACAATCATTTCAGAAGAGTTTGGCAGTTTCATAAAACATTAAGCATCTACACCTACCAGATGATCCTGTCATTCCACTCCTAGACAATTTTTCAAAAGACAATACGGTGTATGTCCACATAAAGAATCCAGTTAGGTTATTGCAGTTTGGGTGATAAACTGGTAGGTGGCATGGACAGGAGAGATTACAAGTGGTCAGATCAGAGCTGTGTGAAAAACTGAAAGAGCTTAGTAGAGAACAGGAGGCCGCGTGGTGAGAGAAACAAGACTGGGACTTCCTTGTTACTCGGAGACCTGGAGTGTTGTGGCAGCATGGACGGAAGGCTTCTTTCTCAGACACTGCCTGTGGTAGGAGTCATATGGAACCAGTGTCCTCTCCACTACCCTAATTCTTTTTCCTATAATACAGATTTTAAGCTTATCACCTACTATATAAGGGGCATCAAAAAGTCAAGGAAAAACAGGAGTAAAAGAAAATGGAATTTCCCCATGAACTTTTTGAAGCTCCCTTGTATAAAGCCTCCTAATATACACAGAGGGAACAGAGTTCTGGTGGCACTGTGGTTAAATTGCTTGAATGGTAACCAAAAGGTCAGTGGTTCAAATCCATCAGCCTCTCGATGGGAGAAAGATGTTGCGGTCTGCTTTCGTAAAGATTTACAGCTTTGCAAACTCTATGGGGCGGCTCTAATCTGTCTTATGTTGGTGGCTGGTGGTGTGCTGTGGAGTCTGTTCTGACTCACAGCGATCCTGGATAGGGTTTCTGAGACTGTAAATCTTTACAGGAGCAGAAAGCCTCATCTCTCTCCCACGGAACGGCTGGCAGTTTCGAACTGCCGACCCTACGGTTAGCAGCCTGATTTGTAACCCCTATACTACCAGAGTTCCTTAATCTGTCTTATAGATTCAATATAAATTGGAATAGACTCAACGGCACTTGACAACAACAACATACACTGACATCTCTGGTCTTCAAAACCTACATTGAAATGTTAAAGTTAAGAGCTATAAGGAATATTTTAGAACATAAGAAAAATATATGAAGATATCCATAAATAATAAATAATGTGTAAAATTTCAAAACACTGAAGGGCAAAAGCAGCAAATGAGTACACTGGAGGAGAAAGGTAGTTGAAAAGTCATCACTATTTCAAAACCAGACTGTAGGAAGAAAACACTGAGCCTTTAAGGATGAGAGTAAAGAGCACTGGTGACATGAAGGATGAAGCATTGGGCTGCTAACCAGAAGGCTGGCAGTTCAAACCCACCAGCCCCTCTGTGAGAGAAAGATGAAACTATCTGCTCTCATAAAGACTTCTTACGGAAGAGTTCTGGTCTGTCCTATCTGGTTGCTGTGAGTTGGAATTGACTCAACAGGAGTGGGTTTATGGTTAAGAATAGAGATCTGTTGTACTAAACCTTATACTAAATCGGAGCCAAGATCCAACATGTTCCTTTTAGAGCCAGCCAGATAAATTCATCCACTTCAGCCCATGTGTGAAATTATCTTCCACAAAAGCCTTTCATATAACAATAAAATTCAAGTGTTAAAACACAAACCACTAATAAATTTAGATGCATTATGTGACTCTTTCCAATCCTGATGGAGGAAATGGTGGAAGATGAAAGAGGGTATAAGAGATATGCCATTGAGGGGAGAAATAGAACTCAAAATATTTTTTGAACACTTCAATTAGACATGGCTGGATTAAATACAGTGAAACCCCAACATTATGACAAATGGTGTTTGATTATGTCAGCCTAGTCCTTTGGACAACCTATTTTTATTTTTGAGCACACAGATGAAGGTAGGATTATGAAATGACTAGCTATTTTCATACATGATGCACAATTATGTACAATGGAGTTTTCACTTTGTTTACGATTTGTTTCAGTCAGTGCAGACATCTTAGAAAATATTATCTTTTGTTAACTGCAATAATTTAACGCTACACTTTAGGTGACTGAATGTTTGGGATCCCAATTATAGCATTATAGCAAGGTTTTTCTTGTAAGTTTTAGAGTTCTAATGGATAAAACGTTGGCAGTTCAAACTCACCAGCAATCCTCAGAAACCCTATACAGGGTCGCTAAGTGTCAGAACTGATTCTACAGCACCTAAGAACAATAACAGCTCTCACGTTACACAAATGTGGACTGACTGCAACTGGTTTCTTCTCTTTTTAGCTTGTTTGTGAGTACACAGGCACTGTTGTTAAGGGCTATAAACTCAGTTCCGATATATACCGAACCTGTACAGGGTTTCTGAGGAACAGCTGATGGGTTTGAACTGCTGACTTTGTGGTTTACAGTCCAGTGCTGATCCTACAGTGCCACATCAGGAGTCCACACAGACACTATAGGAGAGCTGAAAATTACAAACCAAGTTGACCAGAGTGTTGTGGGCACAGGAAGCTGTCTGTTAGAGTTGGTGCTTTGATTTCAGACTTCTAGCCTCCTGAACTATGAGGAGTCCTGGTGTGATGCTGTAAGATAAGCACAAGGTCAGTGGTTCAGACCCACCAACAGCTCCTTGGAAACCCTATACAGGGTCGTTCTGAGTCAGAACTAATTCAATGGCACTCAACAACAGCAAACTGCGGGAAAATGAAGTTTTGTTCATCAAAGCCAAAAACAAAGAAACAACAAAACATAGCCAAGTTGCCATGGATTCAATATGTATGTCAGTGTAGAACTGCGCTCCATGCGTTGTCAGCGGCTGTTTTTTAGGAGGGCTTTCTGAAGCTTTCCCAAAGTGAATGAGGGTGGATTTGAGCCTCCAACGTGTTCTCTAATCCACACAACCTTTCCTCCAATTTGTGTTTTAAAAATACCCTTGGTCTTTTCATAGTAATACCTTGTAATCTTTATGCAATGTTCTGCCATTAAAGATCTTGAAGAAGCAAATAATACAAACCATTAATTCTTACTTGCACTTCAGGAGCTATATCAGAGATAAAAATGCATGTTTTCTATTTCAAAGGGATTCTGTGGCCACAATAATAGGAAACTTCAAGTGCAGCTGAAATAATTGGCTAGAATATTCCCCATTTTGTCCAAAAGATAAGCTGACATCCAAGAAAAGATATGATAATAATATTACATATGAAAACCAAAAAGAAAAAATTCCAAACCTACTGCCATCAAGCCGAATCTTACACATATTGACCCTATCTTTTCCAAGGTTGTTGTTAAAGGAAGCAGAGTGCCTAATTGTTCTCCTTCTTAGTAGCTGGTGGGTTTGAACTGTTGACCTCACAGTCCATTGCTTAGCCTATAGGGCCAAAAGAGGGGGCTTCAAAAAGCTCATGAAAAGACGAAATTGAAAGAATGGAATTTTTCCACGAACTTTTTGAAATCCTTTTGTACTTGAAAAACGGAAAAAGAAAAAAAGGCTGGATATGTTGTTGAGGACAAAATTCTACTTTCAGAAAGACAGCAAAGTATATTCTGGATAAACAAAAATTAGCAATGTAAAGACTCCAGCAATACAAGTCACTCTGAAAAATGAGGAGTCAGTGCAAGGAGAGGCAGAGACAATAACTAATAGGACAATAATGAAGGCGCTGTTATCATATATCACTGGACTGCTAACCGCAAGGTCGGAGGTTCAAACACACCAAGTAGCTCTTTGGAAACCCTATAGAGTTGCTATGAGTTGGAATGCCCTCAACAATGTATCATGGAGTCCTGGTGTGAAGCTGTATGTAGGGTAACGCGCTGAACTGCTAACCTCAATAAAGTCGGCGATTCAATCACACCAAGCTGCTCTCTGGAATCCCTATACAGGGCCGCTAGAGTTGGAACCCACGTAACAACCACCAGAACCTATAGTGAACGAGAGTGGCAGAAAGGCTTCAATGGGGTTGTTCAACAGAGATGGAGGTTGAAAACGAGCTGGAAGACTGCAAACAAGTAGGGAACATTCGCGCAGCACTCTTATATTGGTAGATGTCTTAAAAGTGGAAAGGAAGAAAGTGGGATGGCAACACAAGACAAATGCAAAAGACAATGGAGGACCTTAGCTGCCTGTTACTGATCACCTTTACTATGTCTTTACCTAGTTATCTTATTCCAATAGTTAACCCTGTGATCAATGACGGTTAAGTCGATTGTCTGAGCTCACCACAGGTATTTAAAGAGCTTCAGAGCCAGCAAGAGATGGAGGTCTAACTCCAAGAGTCTCAGTAATTCTCTTCTGTGTGTATAGGATTTACACCCAGGTGCTTCGTGCGTTATGCCTGGCGAGTTGCCACACCTGGACACTACTGTCATCCGCTCCAAGTCAAAACCTAGCCATTTCTGATGACGGGTGTTTACAGAGCGTCCACTTAAGACACAAAACAGTGACCGAATTGATACACGCTCCCTGCTGTGTGTGCGCTCCCGTGCTCCCCGTCCGCAATGGGCGCGCTGGATAGGATGAGGGAGGGTTCCAGCCTTCGGGAGGAGTGGAAGGGGTGTCGGGGGCGCCGGGTGGATGCGTCCGGGGTACCTGGGCACGCAGGGGCCCACGCGGAAAGACGCGGCGAGAATGCGGCTCGAGAAGGGCATCTTCAAAGAAGCCGTTTGAGGCAGGAAATCGTGAAGTCTTCCCCTCGCCCGTGGGCCTTGTTTTGGAAGCGGAGGCCAGGTAAAGGGAGGGTAACGGGACTCACCGTCCATGGTCTCCCTCACCGCACTCAGATTCGCTGCAGCTACCGCCGCCGCCCCGGCGCCGCTACTACTCGCCATGGCTGAGGCCGTTCCGGCCAAGGGAGGCGGGGAAGGGCCTGACCCGGAACTGGAGCGCCTTCCTCTCTCCGGGGCAACCCTGCCGCGCGTCCCCCGCTCACGCCGGGGAAACTCCGCCCCTCGCGCTCGTCGCCTCCGTGCGGCTGCGTTGATTTGAATTTGGAGCCTCGTTACTCTGCGCGGAATGTGAAGCGGTGAGTTTCCATTCGAATTTACTACGCGGCCTCGATGCAATTGGCTGGTTCGCGGACAGCGTTGCAACGCGATTGGCCATCCATCCATAAGCCGCGTGCCTTGGTTGGCCTGAGACTGCACGGAAGCGGGGAGTTAAAGAGTCTTTGCCTGACTGCTCTGGCCCCACGGGAGCAACCTGGATTCACTATTGAGGGCGCTTTACCCTGGAAAACGTGGTTTCTTTTTTATACACAACAATAGGTACGTTTTTGTAGCTCCTGGCTCCAAAACCTGCCTGCTCGCTCGCCCCAGGGTCAATGGGATCAGCCTGTGGGTAGGTGAGGGAGAGAAGGGGCTCCCAGCAAGGCTAATCACGTAGGAGTTGGGACTGACACCGGCGCGGATGTCCTCCTTTGCCTTTGATCCAAGGAAACCAGCTGCTCTTCAGCTTTCCAAAAAGTAGATAGTTTTTCTTATATTCCCCTTTGGCTAGAAGTAATGCGATCTTGCCTTCTATAACCATGGTCTTAACGAGAGGAGGATGCTTGAGAAGGGGTCATTTCAAAGGCCGTAAATTTTTTAACCTTAATCCGTTCTACTTCTCTGGCGAGATCTAATGTGCAGGAAGGATACCCATGCACAAACGTCCTCATTGTTTAGTAATAACTCCAGTCTTGTTTGGCGTTGCTTCGGTGTCTGAAGGATGTCCAAACGCTTTAAATACTTTAGATGATGAGTAAAAAGCTATGGGTATACGTTGTTCCTTTAGTTAAAAAGGAAATTGTGCATAGTGGGATAACGTTTAGTTGCTTCAAAGGCGGATGTGAGTTTCAGTTGGTCGGTCACCACTGAGAAGCCACCTAACTTTTGTGAGCGTATTAATTCTTCTGTAAAGTGACATTTTACCTAGATCTAGGGTGATTTGCATATCAGTTTAGAAACTATATGAGATGCTTTTTTGTAAACCATGCAAAAACTATGAAAAATAATTTTCAAAATGAGTAACTGGAGTTTCGTAGTTTTCTTTTACTTCTGATTTCCTTTTAGTTTTCTCTCTGTGCTATGGGAGATGTCAAAGAATCAAAAATGCAAATAACACCAGAAACTCCTGGAAGGATCACTGTTTTAAATCCTTTTGAAAGTCCTAGTGATTATTCTAATCTCCATGAGCAAACTGTCTCCAGTCCATCTGTTTTTAAATCAACAAAATTACAGGTAAGTTACAGTGTTTACAAATCATTTTAAATATAAATGCCCTTTCTTTAGGGAGGGATCTTTCAAGGAGTTTGTATCGCTAGAATGTGTTTATTTAATTGCAAAATTCATTTTAATCTGATGGTTGGGCTAAAACTACCTTTTAAATTAAGCCCCACCTTCTTCCTTTTTTAAAAGTTCAGCAGGTGGCATGGATCCCTCCATGCGCTATGTTAGTTAGACACTATGAGTAATTTTGTATCTACTAATACCCTTGGTAGCGTAGTGGTTACGAATCGGGCTGCGAACCTTAAGGGCAGCGGTTCGAAACTACCAGCCGCTGCGCGGCAGAAAGATGAGGCTTTCTACTCCCGTAAAGATTTACACCCTCGGAAACCCTGTACAGGGTCGCTATGGGTCGGAACCGACTTGATGGCACTTAACAACAATGCCCTTTTAGAGAAAAAGCTGTGTTATCTAATAATGACTATTCTCATCTATTTGGCAAACATTTGAGTGCTGATATGTATCAGATGCACTGCCCAACATAGGGGTTACAGCATGAGATAGTGAGATCATTAAACACAAACTCTCAAGGAACGTGTACTCTATTGCAGGGATGGGCAACTTTCTGTCAGTGGACAGACAGTAAATATTTTAGGCTCTGCAGGTCATCTGGTCACGGTGACCACCACTAACCTCTGTCTTGTACCAGAAGAACAACCATAGATAATACGTATGCAAATAAGCATGACTGGGCTTCAAACTTTATTTATGGACATTGAAATTTCAATTTCATAGAATTTTCATCAGTGTCACATTATATTAATGTTGTTTTGGAGGTTTTTCAATGATTTAAAATTCCAGAACTATTCTTGGCATGTAGGCTGTACAAAAAGCATTCAACACCTGCTCCAATAGGATGTTGTTGTTAACTGCCTTTGAGTTGGTTTCAACTCATAGCGACCTTGTATAGGGTTTCTGTGGAGCAATTGGTGGGTTTGAACTGCTAATCCCACGACTTGAAATCCAGTACGGTTCCAACAGTGCTACACCAGGAGGCTAACTAAACTAGCAATTTCAAGAGTGATATGTATTATTGTAAAGCACAGGGATAATATGGAAGGGAAAGTGTTCTTTAGGAAATTAGGAGAAGTTTTGCCACTTTAACTTATTTTTATTGTTGTTAGAACTGAATAAAGGAATACTGACTGGTTTAACATTAGGAAGTTTGTGTACCAGGGTTGTATTTCTTCACTATACTTATTCAGTGTATGCTGAGCAATTCATCTGAGAAATTGGGTTATATGAAGAACTTGGCATTGGGATTAGAGGAAGGGAAGGCTTATCAACCTGTGATAGGGAGTTCTGTTGTGGTGCTACAGAATGAGCACTGGGTTGCTAACCACAAGGTCAACAGTTCAAACCCACCAGCTGCTCCTCAGAAATCCTCTACAGGGTCGCTATGAGTCGGAACTGACTTGATGGCACTTATCAACATTAACATACAGTTGATAAAACCTTGCTTGCTGAAAGTGAAGAAGACTTAAAATATTTTCTGATGAAGATGAAAGACTACAGTCATTAGTAGGATTGCACCTCAATGTAAAGCAAACAAAATTCTTACAAGTGAACCAATAAATAACATCATGGTAAATGGAGAAAAGATAAAAGGTGTCAAAGACTTCATTTTGCTTGGATCCACTATCAGCACTCATGGAAGCAGCAGCCAAGAAATCAAAGACATACTGCATTAGGCAAATCTGCTGCTGAAGATCTCTTTAAAGTGTTAAAGAGCAAAGATATCAGTTTGAGGACTAAGGTGGACCAGACCCAAGCCATTGTATTTTCAGTTAACTCATCATATACATGTGATAGTTGGACAATGAATAAGGAAAATTGAAGACTATTGATGCATTTGAATTATGGTATTGGCAAAGAATATTAAAAGTACCATGGTCTGCCAGAAGAACAAACAAATCTGTGTTTGAAGAAGTGTAGCCAGAGTGTTCCTTAGAAGCCCGATGGCCAGACTTGGTCTCTTAGACTTCAGACCAGTCCCTGGAGAAGAACAGCATTGTTGGTATCAATGGAGGGTCAGCAAAAAAGAAGAAGAAAATTCCCAACAAGATGGATTAACACAGGGTCAGCCACAATGGGTTCAAATGTAACAATTGTGAGGAAGGCTTAGGACCAGGCAGTGCTTCATTCTGTTATGCATACGGTTGCTATGAATCGGAACCAACTCAATGGCACCTAACAACAAACTGGAGAAGGTTTTTTGAAGCCTGATCTTTTCACCTTTGTAAGTTACTTAGGAAAACTGCAAACTGCATTACTATTTTGGTTACCTCTTCTGTGATCCTGGGCAATAAACAGAGAGAAAGTCTGGGAGTTTTACAGTTCATATTGAGTTTTTTCATTAATCTTATCTCATGATATTTAATTTACTTTTTTCACTCATTAAGTTTTAGTTGGAGTCCTGGTGTGGCGCTGTAGGATAAGCAGTAGGCCTCAGGGTTGATTTGAACTGCAAGATCGATGGTTCAAACTCAGCAGCCTCCCCTAGGAAACCCTATACAGGGAGGGGCACTATGAGTTGGAACTGACTGGACAGCACTTAGCCACAATAGTTTTAGTTATCTGTTAGTCTTAAAAATAAATAATGGAATGTCTGCAACATTATCCTCAAATCCAGAAACCATGATATCTAGAGACTTTAGGTCTGAATCTGTAAAAAATATATTCACAACTGTGGATTGGGATTTTGGGTAAGCCTTTGACTCCACAGCTGAACAAGGAATGACAGCACTTGCTACCATTCATAATTATTTTCAGGATCAACTATTTTATGAGTTTTTGAAGTCACTTGTATGATTCAAACTAAATAAACTTAAATGCTAAATTTCATTTTATTGGTGAAAGTAAAGACCTTTAGTATCTGTAAGAGGTCTGTGGAGTCCTGGTGTGATGCTATGGGTTAGTGTGCTGGACAGCAAACTTGTTTTGAACCGCAAGTTTGGCACTTATCGGCACTTAACAACACTTGTAGCAATGGGGTCCTGTTGTGGCACTGTGGGTTAGTGTGCTGGACAGCAAGGTCAGTTTGAATTGCAAGCTTGAGGGTTCAAACTCACCAGCTGCTCCTCAGAAACCCTATACAGGGTCGTTATTAGTCAGAACCGACTTGATGACACTTAACAACAATCACCAAGATAAAAGATTTTTACATTTTAAAAGATAAAGTCAAGTAAGTCGATTGAGTGTGATGACTCATTCACCCTTGAATTGAATGGTAAAGTCACATTTTAAGATAACTCGAAAATATTTTCCTAGTATAGCTCTTCACATTATTTTTAAAGTGACTTTGGTTACCATTTTGATAATCTAGTTGATTTTGTTTTTACTCATAAGCTTACTTTCTTTTGTTAAGACTCCACGGGAATTTAGATGGTCCATTGATCAACTAGCTGTAATGAATCCTGTAGAAATAGACCCAGAGGACATTCATCGTCAAGCTTTATACTTAAGTCATTCTCGGTAAGTTTTCCTTCCCTGCACCGAAGTGTAATAACATGCTATCAAGTGAAGAGAGCTAGGAAGTCCCAAAGGTGCATATTTTTCTATGTAGAAAATTTTTCATGCGCATTTAGCTAGCTTATCTAAATGAAAAGTTAGTCCAGAGAACTACATCCAGAAAAATTTCTTGGGTGGAAGTCCAATGCTTTTCCAGATAAGCTTCTTCCTCAGCTACTTAGAGAGCAATGTTGCCTCTTCAGCACTTGGTAGAGGGCCAGGTATGTGAAATTCACACCTTTCTACATGATTGTAGTATCTGCCATTGACTTTTTCTGGAGGGGGGCGAGGGATTCCTTTTATGCTATTCTGTTGCCATCTACAGTTGAGGAAGCTGAAAGTCCCTTTTTCAATTTAAGATGCACTGACTGCAGCAAAGCAAACTTTTCAAGAAATCCATCCAACTTTGACATAGTATACTTAACAAATGAAAAAAAAGCAAAAGCAAACATACACTTGTAGCCATTGAGTTGATTCTGATTCACAGCAGCCCTATAGAACAGAGTAGAGCAGCCCCATAGAGTTACCAAGGCTGCAATCTTCGTCCTGTGAAATGGCTGGTGGGTTTGAACCACAGGCTTTTCAGTTATCAGCCGAGCACTTAACCATTAGGGCTCTTTGTATTACACTTAGGGAGTCAGAAGTACAATATGTTCCATTCTACATAGGAACCGGAATAGTCTTAACTATTTATTGATACATTGTGAGAGTTTCAAATCAAAGCATTCCTATGCCTCAGACTTAAGCTGGCAGTGATGCTCAATGAAGTGAGAATATGCTCTTTTTTGGGACAATCTACTTTTTGATTACAGTGTTTGGTGGATAGATACTTGTTTATATCAGTTTGAGCCTGAATTTTTTATATTTGAAAAAGTCAAATCGATGTTAAGACCAGCTTTAAGTCTGAGCTAAACTGGAGGTGTTCCACAGAAAATCCTTTGCCATAGTTTAATTACATAAAATGTACACATGTTAAGATAGATATTCATAGAAATAACCTTTCTGACTTTTCTACCACATGTTCTTTGCTTGATAACTTGAGCATTCACTTATAATTTAGTTAATGCCCATTCAAAGTGGTAGGAAGCCAATGGTGGCAGAGCATAAAAGGATTTTTACCTAAACTTAAATAATACCATTGACAAAAAGTTAAAAAGAAAACAAATCTCAATTACTTTACTTTTGTTCCACACAGCCTGCTTTATTATTGTCCCTCAGCTCTTCAGTATATTCCATTAGTGATGACAATTATTAAGAAAACAAATCTGTCAAGAGATACTTATTTTTGATTGCCAAGAGGCATTGTGAGGAACTCGGAAAAAGTATAGAATATTATCCCTGCCCTTAAGAGTCAGCAATGCATCTGTATCCACATTTTGATACAACCTTTTTAATTGATTTATTTCTGTCAGAGTAGGTTTATGAAAAGAATCTTGGTGTAGGTGTAGTTCAGGATGGATTTGTGAGCTAAGAGGAGAAAAAAGTGGGGAAAGTACCGAATTCTTATTTAATTTACTGATGTAATTCAGTCAGTGATTATGGTATCTACCAACATTAGTGAGTAGACTTTTAACAAAAGACGCTGATTCATTCTTAGAAATAAGCAATGGTTTGTTGCATCTCTTCTTATCAAATCAGGACTCTGTCTTCTAGTGCTTTCTACCTATTCTATGTCAGGGTACACATAGAAACAAATAGCTCTAAGTCATCCTGGTATAAATAAATGAGCCTGGAGCTCTGATAGCATAGTGGCTATGAATTGGGCTATGAACCGCAAGGTCAGCAGTTCAAAACTACCAGCTGCTCCGCGGGAGAAAGATGAGGCGTTCTGCTCCTGTAAAGATTTACAGCCTCGGAAACCCTGTACAGGGTTGCTATGAGTCAGAACTGATTCCACAGCACACACCCACCACCCCCACCACCCACACAGGAGTGTGGCGTTATGGGTTTAATGCACTGGACTGCGAAGTCAGTTTGAGCCACCAGGTAGGCGGTTCAAGCTCACCAGCCGCTCCTCAGAAACCCTATACAGGGTTGCTATGGGTCGGAACTGACTTGACGGCACTTAACAACAATAATCCACTAAGGAGGTGACTTATCATGAGGGTCCCCCTAGTTCAAGGGATCAACATTCAGGGTACACCTGAAGTTGCCAGTGTTTTGTGCCCTATTTGGTCAGGATGCTCTGCCCTGTATAACTTCTTAAAATCGCCTATGATTTGGCTCTATAATATTTGGCCAAACTAGTTTTCACTGCGTCCAGCAATCACCTGAATAATTGATGTTTTTGAAGTCCCTCTGATGAAGCAGCAAAGGCAGGAGATAATGCTAGATCAAGAGCTTACTTACTCCGTGCTAAGGTTATGTGGAGTCCTGGTGTGGTACTGCAAGATAATGCACTGGACTGCAAGGCAAAACTGAACTGCAGGATCAGCAGTGTAAACCCACTAGCCTCTCCTTGGAAACCCTGTATAGGGTCACTATGGGTCGGAACCGACTCGATGATGCTTAACAGTGTTGCAACAGCAAATTTATTATGCACTGTCTTTTTGACCACGGTAAAATGAAAAGACCCCCCAAGTTGCTATCCCCAAAATGCCTGTTGTTCAGACTGGGATATGTATAAGGATTATATATGGATTATCACTGTAGTTTATTTCTCATAATTCCTTTACTTGAAAGATCATTTGATGAAATTCTAGAATGTATATATCCTCATATTTACTATGATTACTCACAAATATACATTGAGAGAAAGTGATTTTCAAGTACTGTAAACAAAGGTCTTGCCAGTTTATCAAGAAAGAAAACAAATAATGACTCTTTCTTGGAGCAGAATAAAGAAGTGGTCTAAGCAAGTTTAATTGCTTAGTCCTTGGCAAGTGTATGCCTTGTGCTTGAGACCTGACGTGTTCTGTTTGTTTAATGTCACAGCTGAAAAATGCGTGTTGCTGTAATTGCACATTGTACCAAAGTGGAAAGTTTTCATTTGAACAAAATTTTAATAGTTGATATTTTTAAATTTCATAATTAACATTTTTCTTTGCTTATTCAGAAACTGTAAGGATGATCACTTTCTTCTATTTCAGAGAAGAGTTGATCTTAATACAGCTATGATAAACTTGCCGTAAACTGATGAGAGAATTTGGACAATTATAGATTTCTATAGAAAGAAGTACTTTACTTGTGATGAAAAAAGTATAAAATTTATTCAGATTTCTTTATATTGTTAATAGTAATTTTCAGACTATATCAATGTAAACCATTTAAAAGAAAATATTCCTTCCAAATCTTTAATAGAAAAGGATGGAATGAGATGCTGAATTTCACAATACTAACTTCAAATTAACTTAATGTTATAAGGTACCAATTTTTCTTTAAAGTGAGCTTAATATTTGAGAGTTTTCAACTGAAAAAGTATTCCTTTGAAAGGTTCTTGTTTTAAATGTTCAATAAACTAAAGTAATGGCATGGTTTTTTGTTTTTTTGTTTTTATCGCTGCATAGAATAGATAAAGATGTGGAAGACAAAAGACAAAAAGCCATTGAAGAGGTAACTTAAAACTGTTACTGATCATTAAGCTAATGAAACTTCAATTCTGCATGCATGTCACCTCTCAGGAAGACTTCCTTCAAATCAATCACTGTCTCATTTCCTCACTAAACCTGCCCCCAGCTGTATGAAGTCTCCTTCCATAGGTCCATAAAGCCAGTGTTTTCCAGTTATCCCAGCACCTCTTGTAACTACCAGTATAATTGTTTCCTCTCTTCTAGACGGAATTTCCTTTTGGCAGATACTGCACTTCATTTATCTTTTATTTTTTGTGCCTTTTAGAATATTGATTAGCACAAACTTTCTGTCAACTTAAGAGTTTATGTAGAGAGTAAGTAAATTTTCAGGCTCTAGCAACCTAGGTTAGCATTGGTTTAATCTTTTTTTGTGGTTGGTACTTTGGATTTTTTAAAGACATGGAATGTATTTCATGTAGTAAAAGTCTTCTGGCTAAGCATAAGAAGTATTTCACAAATGTAGTATCTTAGCTTGGGTTTTAATGAAAATAATGAACTGAGTTTTCCATTTTGGGGTTTTTTGTTTTTCATTTGTTTGCTGATCTTTTAGATTATAAAGTTTCTCTCTAGTTATTTCTCAGAAAGTCTGTATGCTCTTGGCAACATTTCCTGGTTTTCCTTTTTTTCTTCTCGTTTCCCCTGTAGCTCTTGGGCACACTTGGCGTGGGCAGCAATCAGGTATTGTAATGCTGTCCCTTTGTATTCAGACACAGCCCATTTCTTAGAAGATATTTTCATGTGCTATGCTCTTGCCAAACATTATTTACTTAGTTTCATCTAGTCACTTCAGTTTTCATTCTGATCCAGTTACTTAACTCTCCCCTACATACATTATTATCAAACCCTTTCCTATTTCCTAACATTGTGAAAAGTAGACTTTTTCTTTAGATTCTGCAGCTTTAAAGGGAAATTCAGGAAGCAAAATTTACAAAAATGAAGTCAGACTGAAGAATAGGGTTAACGTAAGAAATAAGTTTGCTTTTTTTTTTTTTTTTCTTTCCTTTTAATTTATATTTTTGAAACTAGAAGTAATAAATACGCCAAAGAGGCACTACAGATTAATGCCCTGGTCTGCAAGGTTGGTTTGGACCGCAAGGTTGGTGGTTCAAGCTCACCAGCCATTCCTTGGAAACCCTATACAGGGTCACTATGAGTTGGAACTGACTCGATGGCACTTAACAACAAACAACATAATGAAAACAAAAATACTCAAAGAGCAAAAAAGAGATATAAAACAAAAGTGGTAAGCCGCTTTGTTTCCTCTCTGCTCCCTAAAGGTATCTAGTCTAAAATGTCTTGTGTACTTTTCGGATTAATTTTACATACTTAATACTATGTGTCCTTTAATTATTTTAGTCACATAGGATCATTGTTCTCATGCTGTCTTACACCTAGCTTTTTTGTGTAATAATTTTTCTTAAGTATTTTTTTAAGTAGCACATACATTCTTCTAAAATTCAGCATAATATTCCATTTTATGGATGTGCCTTACCAAAACTGGGCCCTATTGATAGATTTTTAGATTGTACTTGGTATTTTCTATCACAAATAATGCTGTAGTGAAGATACTTGTACACATACCTTTGTGTACATGAAATGGACTTGCTAAATCAGAAACATTTTGAGTGGTCATTTGATTTATTGTGCCATATTGCCTTTCCAAAAAGTTGCACTAATTTATACTCCTGGCTGTGTATATGATATGCCTGTTAACTCTTATCCACTAATACTACTAAATATTGCCAAACTAATTAACTTTTGCTAGTCTTTTTATTTTAATAAAATGACATCTCATTATTTTGCTTTACATTGAATTTTGAGTGAGATTACAAATCATTTCATGTTTATGGGTCCTTCAGCATTTTTTTTTTAGTCGGGAAGATTGGGAGATTGGCTGTGTCATAATCTCTGCTCATTTTTGTTTCTTTAAAATACTTTCTCAGGTTCATAGATAGTGTGGCTTGTCATATGTACAGCAAAATATAAAGAAAATGTTTTGAGTTGTATTTAAAACTTCGGGAAGACTTAAGTTTTATATTAGGCTGAATTTTATCTGGAATGAAAAAAGAAAGCAGTGTAGCCAAATGCTTTAAGTCCACTGAGCCAGTGATATGCTGGTAAATGTTTAGCCACTGGCTCTCTGGTTGTTGAATTGGGAGGAAAGCATGGTGTATAGTGATTAATGCTCTCCACAAGCGCAGCCCAAAGCATCTCATTACAACCCTGTCAACCCTGCTGCGCTTCTGCCTCTTGACTGACGCGACATCCAAGGACAGAAATCCCACCTTTGAGCTGGACTTAAGGGCCATAGCACAAGGAGATTCGTGTTTAACAGCGACCACACATCTGCCACTCGTCTGTTGTGCTCTGGTGGTTTGAATTGCTTTGATTCTGAGGGCTATGCCACCGGTATTTTAAATAACCAGCAGGGTCACCCATGGTGGACAGGTTTCAGATGAGCTTCCAAACAAAGA